CATAACCACCATAGTCATTAAAGGCCACACGTCCACTTCAGTATTCACATTTTCAGTCAACTGAGTTGTCAGTTCTTAAATTATTATATTTAATCAGTCCTAATACTGAATACGGCCTATCGTTGACCGAAAGCCATAAAACTTTGATTTTGACTTGTATTTAAAATATATTCATATTTGATTAGTGTTTAATGAAAATCCCTGTTCACCCACCACTAAGATATAGCTGTGCATTGGAGAGGAAATACAAGCGAATCCCAAACTGTTCATCAACAAATCCCTCAGTTGTTCAAAGCGTTCTTTGCTGTGCATGAGTGAGTGAGCGAGTGAATGCATGCTTTTATGTTCGATAGCAATGATTTTCTATTAGGAATTCACACTGCTGAAACATATAACACTCTCTCCTGCCATCTCAAGAGCAATCTGTTCATTTTCAGAAGGTTCATGCTTCATTACCTCTCCACTGAGACTGACCTGAGTTTAGACACGATTAAGTGATTGATCTGTCTGCTCTGACTGCCTTACAAAGGTCAATATGTGACATGAAATGTGATGCATTTTTATGTATTGCACCACAGGCGGTCGCTAATTTGTGGGGGGGTTTTCACCCGTTTGGTGACATAGGCACAGAAACAATTGTCTCAGCCGCGATCTCACCTCCTTTACCACCCCCATGCCTTTCTGAAGCATGCACCTATCCACACAAAAGAACACACTCATTTATTCTGTCTTTATCAGACACTCATAATCTCCTTCTTTATCTTTCGTTGTCACACACATACTCACAAATCCACATTCATATGCTCCCCCATCACACACACACACATGCAAACTTCCTGTCTGGTTCCGCTCCATCCTGGTTGTGTGTGTAGGAGCAGCGGGTGAGTGCTGTCTAACTGATGATTATCCCTACAGGATGCAGGAGAGCTGTACACACACACACACACACACACACACACAATCTCTCTCTTTCTGACATCTACACACTGTGATAAACATTGCACACACACACACACTTGCATACTTCCATACAACAAAGAGAAATGATTACTATTGTTATTTGTAATCCTTTGTTTTTCTCCAAAAACACAGGCCTTTTCTTTTTCAAAGGCATCTTGTTTGTGTGAAATCAATATTATTTACTCAATTACTCTTGCAGGTATTGACGCTCACATCCTTTGATAACAGCATTTGTAGTCTATTAGTGTTATGCACTTACTGAAATATGTCTTTAACCCATGTAGAATAAAATATAGATCCTCTAGTTGTGAAAAATCACAGTTTTAATCCATACATCGCAAAAAACATTTTCTTAATCACTATCTTTGTCTTGTGTTCCAGTAAATATATCTGAAACAAGAAAAACAAGAAAAAACAAGAAAAAAAATAGCTAAGAATTTAAAGTGCATATATATTTATTCATTTAATTTTATGTATTTCTTTGTCAATATGTACCTTTCAATATGTATCTCAAATGACTGTATTGAGAACATTTTTTTTCGAAAAAAATTTTCGATTCCATTTTTAAAAAATCATTTCAGTTTATCAATCAGTAATGTATTTATTAATATACTTTTATATAATAAAATTTTCTTTATATTTTATTAGTTTTTAATATATATTTTTGTTTTGTGAATATTTTCATGAGAAAAGTATATATATTTCAAATTTTTATATAAAATGTATTAACGTGTGTGCGTGTGTGTATACACACACACACACACACATAATACATATACATAATAACATAATTTATTGAAATGCAGTAATTTGATCCTCCTTTGAAAATAGGTTTTGAGGTTTCATGTTGACCTAAAGCATAATCCTAATAAAATGTATTATTCTATTACCAGCTCTATTACATATTTCCATAGGTAACAATCTTTTCAATACTCAGTTACCATTTAGGCTTTAGCAGAATATAAATCTATTACTTTTCTTAGCTGCACACCTTATGGAGCATAAGCCGTAAAACATATACGGGTCAGTTAGTTTGCTAGATTCAGGAAAATGCCGGCTAGAGCAGAAAGCCTCTTTAGAGATGAAAGTGAGCTGATCGTGAGACTCTGCTGAGCTATTAGAAGTGCAGAAGTGAAGAGAGAGAATAATCTCTCGTCGCTGTGGAGACAACACCAAAAGATGAGAAGGAGCGAGAGAAAAGTTATTACTGTAGTAAGTGTGTGTGCATGTGTCAGAGTAAATCATGATGGGTCTTTGTCATTCGCACTGTGCCGTGCTGTTAAATCCTCACAGGTCCATATCACAGAGAAGTCTGTCTTTACTGGGTTTAGACCCAGTCTATAATTAGCTCTATCCTGTCTCTGTCTGACACTTCAGTACTGCTGTGAGTTGCTCAGCAGCTTAAAGTGACTGCAAGAATGGAGAAGAAAGGTTTAAAGGAATAGTTCAGCCAAATATAAACATTTTGTCATTATTTACTCACCCACATGTCGTTCCATATGACTTCCGTAGATGACTTACTTTCTTCTGTGCAACACAAAAGGTGATTTTTGAAGAATATCCTGACTTCTATTCATTATAATGAAAGTAAATGAGGATTGGAGCCGTCAAGCTTCAAAAAACACTCGAAAGCACCATAAGGATAAATGTACTAGAGTCCAGATTTTCAGTGAATACCTTCAGTTTCAGTCTTTTCCTTACACAAAGCTGCTGTGCACAAGTCATATGAATGACTTTTATGATTCCTTTATGGTGCCTTTTTGTAATTTTGAAGCTTTTAAGTGCCCTGGAAAAATGCTAAAATGAAATCTCAGGTCAAGGGGATTCCAATGAAGATTCAAGAGGTCCATTCTCTTAATTTCCTTTCCATTAAAGGTCCATAAAATCATAACTGTTTCTGATGCCATTATGTTGTATGGCTATGAAATATAAAAAGCCATGTCATGTCATATTACGCAATTCTGTAATATTCATGTCATGAATATTTACTGTTCATTTTCAAGTTGGCAGCCATAATATCTTGTGACAGAAAGAAATAATGAACCCCAAATAGTCTAAATAGTCTCCAGACAGTGTTGTTTTTGTAAACCAAATCAAAACTAAAACTAAAATAAAATAAAATGTAAATGTAAGATTAAGAAAACTTAAATTAAAATAAATGAGTTTTTAAAAATGAATGAAAAATTAATTGATGAAAATTTACCTTGGCAACTAACTAAGTCTGTGCTAAAAAGTGCTAAAATTATGTAACTAAATAAATAAATACATTTAAACTCTCTCTCTCTCTCTATTTAAACAAAACAAAAACTAATGAAAATATAACAATTATTAAAATTGAAACTAAAATAAAAATGAAAACAGAAAATAAAATAATTAAACTAATTAAAAATCTTAATAAATACTTTAATAGTTTATAAATAATACTAAAATAGCACTGTCTCTAAGAAGAGAGCCAACTATATTTGCAGTGCTGCGAAGTTTCAAAAGGTAAGATGGAGTAGTAAAGTAGAAATGTACACAAATTAAAATACATTTAAAATACAGTTTATTCATAGAAAGTGCTTTTTGTGCAGATCAGTTTTTGCATCTGGTGCTAATCTGTGAACTCTAGTTGAGGTGATACTGAGATGGTCAAGTATAGAGAGAGAGAAGGATGATTATTAGTTTGGATGGTAGAGCGGCATCAGCTGCGATGATCATTGTAACCAATTACGACGGTCATCCAGCTGAATGATCTGATGTTTGTTGATGAAGGGACAAACATGTTGTGACTGCAGGTTACTGAAGCATGCAAATACTTCAGATAGCAGACTACACTCACACACACCAACAAGGCACTTTACTGTATCATACATCATAGCAGCTTGGCCCCACATCTTGATCTTGAAGCGATAACTGCACATTTTAAAATATAAGGTGTTACGGGTGGATGAATTCAGAAGGATAAAGCATTTTGTCATGAAGTGATGGTCTGTGTGTGAATGTTGGACGTTATCTGTATGCAGTATGGAGGTGAGTCACTGCTGAATGGAAATATTGTAGCACATCTTTGGGCTGCATCACATGTTCCAGAGTTTGTTGTGAGCTCAAATAAATAATCCATATTTTTCACATACTCAAGTTAGTCTCTGGAGTACATTCATAATTTAGTTTCCAAGTAAACAGAGACCTCTGAGAATGCAGAACTCTTTTAACATTTATTTTTCAAAGCTGTTTTACGTTTCTTTAAAGTTGAATAGTTTAACTACTGTAAAGATGCTTATTTTGAGTATTTTAGTTTATTTTAGTATGTATTTCAGTGTTACTGGTATAACAAATTGCACATTTTGAAACAGAATTTTGGGCTCTTGTGATTCTCAACTAGGCTGTTTGCTTCTGACTGGTATTTAGTAACAGTTTTAAACTTTACTAGTCAGATTCCTGTAACAATCATGTTGGCATTTTATTTTATGATAAACCACAAAGTAGAAATGGGCCTAATATTGTTCCTTGTGATAATGACCTCTAAGGCTTCTATATGCTTAATAGTTACCAAAAAAACTAAAATGCATAATAGTAAATTGGAATGGAATAGTTGACCTCAATAGATCTGATTTCTGAATCCGATTTCTATCATAACATTATTCATTCATTCATTCATTAATTTACTCTTTCATGAATTTTCCCATGAATTCCCCAGAGTATTCAATAGTGTCACATTTTTATGCAATATTATAAAGGTCTCTTTTCTGATGCCATGATGAAGGGCTCCCATTTTTGATATAATTTCCATGAGCCTTTTTTGTATTATTTTTAGGCTCTTACTTGCTGATGTAAGCACGACGGTAAAATAACTATTTTATTATTCGTCATTGTTGCTATTAGTTATGTTTTGATGAATAAATGTAATAGATTTTGGCATAAGTGAGCGTGAGGGATGAAGAGAAGCAAACTCTCGCGTCGGCGCGAGACAGTCCAGACTACTAACGGCTACTAACGGCCTGGCGCTCCCGGGCTCCGGTCCAGATCGCTACTTCAACATCGGAAATATGGAAATGTGGCTCGGGCAAGACTCACTGAGTAATCCAATCCATCCAGAGCGCCTCTCTCCGCCCCCTTCCCTTGTGTCCGACTTTGAGGAACTTCACACTGGGAAGCCGTTTTCGCCAACGCGCCGGAGCCAGACGCGCGCCCTGAATTAGTCGCGTCCAAACTTTTATTTGTCGAAGAACATAAACGGGATGCGGTGACACACACCGCCAGAACGCCCCTTTTAGCCGCAGCAGTGTCGAAAACTTATTCCATTTGGGAAAAACCTGATTACTCAATGCGCAAAGCGCCTGAAGGCGAATGGAGTTGAAGGGATTTTTCTCGCTCCGCGCGGGACCGATGCCTGATCTCCAGTGAAAAATGTGGAAAGATGAATATGAGGTGCATTTCGACTTTCTTCTGGGACTTCTGTAAGTTTTTCTCTAGCTTTTGTTGCTTCTACATAATGTATAGCACTTTATAAGACCTGCAACTGATGCAATAGACTTTAAAATGTAGAAACTTGTCTTAATTTCTGTCATTAAGTATAAGTTTTATTGTTTTTATGTTTAAAGTGTTTATTTACTGACCTTACTGAAGTTAAAAGTCTTGGGTTTTCTTTATGTAATATATGTAGGCAGGGACTTTGGAACTTCGTTTGTTTGAACTTTTTTTTTTTTTGGTTTGGGACATCTTGCTCTTTGGTCTTTTGTGGACACATCTGTTAGTTGATTTTCCTCTGTCTATGGGACACTGTTCCAATATTATGGAGGTGACCAAGGCTCCATTCATTATTTCTCTGTGTAGACTTATTTTTTAAAGTCTTTTTCTATAGATGCAGTCCTTGAAGTCTTCAAATAAGCTTTTGAATATTTCGACCATTATTTCCCAGAAAAAATAAGTTTTAACACGTTGACTTTTTGTGACAACATGCCCCACTTGTGGGACCAGCTATTAGCCTATTAGAGGCTATTCAACTACAATGTTAAAGCAGTTACAAAAAATAAAAATGTAAAAGTATACCACCAAACAAATACATCAAACAATTGTTTTTACCAGCAAATATTATAATTGATGATTTGCATAAAATTACAACCTGTAAAACACATGAGACAACTTGTCAGAGTAAAAATGCAACGACCTGCCCTGACCTGAGATTTATGATGGGGAAAAAAGCTTTGTGCAAAGAACCTCAATCTTTCAGTTATCTGCCTGTATTATATATTTGACACTGGTCTGAATGTATGCCAGTGTGGTTTTATTTTATTCACTGTTTGCACATTTTTTGTACCATTTTTTAACTTAAAGGAAAGAATTTACATGCATCATTGTACTTTAAAACTGTTTTGAGCTAGATACCAGCATACAAAACCACTGATTAAAAAACACATTCCCCATGTGACAACTTGCCCCCGGTCTCCTCCAAAGTTAAATTTGTAAAGGGACAGTGCAGCCAAAAATGAAAATTCTATGATCATTTTCAAACCTGTATGACTTTCTTTCTTCTGTCGAATACAAAATAAGTTATTTTGAAGAATATTAGTAGCCAAGTGGATTTGGGTTCCATTGACTTCTATAGTATCCTTTCATACTATGGAAGTCAATGGAACCCAAATCCACTTGGCGACTAATATTCTTCAAAATAACTTATTTTGTATTTTGTACTTAGTTTTGGGACCCAAGACTATTTGTTTACCAACAGACTTCAGAACATCTTCTTTTGTGTTCCACTGAAGAAAGAAATGCAAACATGTTTGGAATTACATGAGGGAGAGTAAATGATGACAGAATTTAAATTTTTGGGTGAACTGTCCCTTTAAACGCTCATCTCTTCCATCATCAAATGGTTTTGGATAAATACATAGCCTGAGGTTCTATATATTGTGAGCTTGTGTTTGGTTACCTAATTGTAACCCATTGTAACCAAAATGTTTTCATTGCACATTCTGATGTGTAACACATTTCTGTCCGACCCTGCTGGTTTGATGTATTCCAGTAAGAGAACACACAAAGGGGGATTTGTGTTTTTGGCTAACTGACAAGGCCGCAGCAACTCCTTCACACCTCGCTCTATTCATCCAACACACCTCTCCGACGGCATCAGAACGGGCAGAGAGAGACGCTGGCATGTGAGTCATAGACAAGCAGTCTCATGTTTAATCTCCTGCCTGGCTCAGCAGCAGCGCAGGTCCATACAGAGACACGGCTGCTGGCTTCTTGTAGGATCACTGTATATCAGTGCTGCCATAGTCACTTATAATGTTTATCTACCCTCTAGAGCAGGACATCAGGCTGTGATTTATTTTTAACCAATGAAGTCTGTGAAAGTTTGTGTGTGTGTGTGTGTGTGTGTGTGTGTGTGTGCGTGTGTGTGTTGTCTAGGAATTAAAAAACCTTACAAAGAGTACACTGGTGGTACTATGGTACAGTGATGGTATCGGATGGTAAGATTGTGGTCCTTTGACATATACAGTGATACTAAATAATTACCATAGTCATATACCATGGTACAAAAAAATATATAGAAACGTTAAATAAAAAAGTGTAATAAACACAAATAGTCAATAAATAAATATAACAATATTTATAAAAAATATTTTACAATTAAAAATATGTGAAAACGTGTGTTTGTTTGTTTGTTCATTTATTTAATAAAATTAACAAAGAAATAATGCAAATAAAATAAAATATGGCAGAATGGGTAACATTCTAAATCAATTTAGCCTAAATTAAGTCTCTAAATAATAGCTAGATTTGGACCTATTAGTATACAATTATTAAGTCTCTTATGGTCACCATTTATTTGGATGAAAATACAGTAAAAGCAGTGCTATTGTGAAATATCATTTCAATTATAAATATAGAAAATATTAAGTATTAATATAATATTTTCTATTTTAAAATATTTTAAACAGTTCAACAGAGCAGTATCTATCTATCTATCTATCTATCTATATATATATATATATATATATATCCCTGTGGTGGATTTTGGGAAAAAATGTATAAAAAATTGTATAAAAAATTAATAAAATGATAAAAAGGATTATTTACTTAAATGTCATACAAACATAGCTCATTTGGCTCCTGTAATCTTATGTGTCCATGGCAATGTCTTTCTTAGGTTCCTTTAGGAATCGATAATACTATAACTGTGCAATCTATCATTATTATTGATCACAGCAGCCCGGTGGCAGATGGAGAAGTATTGCTTTCCGATCAGGTTTGTTCAGTCACTATGTACACAGGACTAAAATACAAACGGCCAGCTGTTTTGACACCTGACTGCTGAAAGATTATGTCAGGGGCGCTGAACCAGTCAGAGAGTCTGGCGATCTAATTCACACCTGTCTCTGTGCAGACACGTGCTCACGTACTGTAGATGTGAGTCATATTTGTGATGATTCAGTGACTGCTTTTCTTGACAGGAAGAGGGCAAGAGACGGTTGCAAAACCTAAACTCAGATGACATTTCGTCATACCTTTATGTAATGTCTTTATGTATTACTGATGGATCATGCGATCAGTAATTTAGCAGATACCAGATGTACTGTATAATACACCATTTCTTATTCTGCAACATTTTGAAGCCCCTTCATTAAAATGTATTCCTCATAACTTAGTAGTAACTAAAAATGATCTATTCCATCTATTCCAGATGTTACCATCCAAGATGTACAGTATATGGATCCTCTGTAGCAAATGGGTGCCGTCAGAATGAGAGTCCTAACAGCTGATAAAAACATCACAATAATCCACACGACTTGTGAAGTGAAAAGCTGTGCATTTGTAAGAAACAAACCCATCAAGGTGTTTTAAACCATCGCTTTTGGCCAGAATACCAGTACCAGATATAAAATACCAGATAATCCATAATAACGCTTCCTCTAGTGGAAAAGTCCATCCGTTATTGTCCTCTCGCATCAAAATCCACAGACGTATTAGTTTAGAATAGTTTGGGACTTTTCATTTACAAACAGTGCTTGGTCTGTGCATACTTCTCTTTTCTGATTCAGACAGGATGACTTTTTCACTGGAGCAAGCAACATTACGAATAGAGGATTTTAGCCGTAAGCAATGATTTGAAGTTTAAAGCATCTTAATGATGGATTTACAAACAGCTTTTTGCTTCACAAGACGTTAATGGGTGGTTTGTTGATTATCGTGACTCGGCACCCATTCACTGCAGAGGATCCATTGGTAAACAAGTGATGTAATGCTAAATTTCTCCAAATCTGTTCTAATAAAGAAACAAATTTATCTACATCTTGAATGGCCTGAGGGTGTGTACATTTTCAGCAGATTCTGAAATAATTTTGTGGTCTCCGGATGAAATCGGGAATCATTTATCACCTTGAACTACTGTTCATCACATAGCGTTCCTGTTACTTTGTTCTTCACCTAGAATTACAGTATGTACCCTGTGCAATCCCGCCTGCTTGACTGCTCGCTCTGTGCCGTGTGAGATTTGTCGGGGCTTTTCTAGGGCATTGTGGGTAATGCTGATGAAGGGGCCATCTGCTTGGGAGGGACACAAATTACACCCTCTTTCTCGCTCCCGGAACACCAGGTTCTACTGGCCATGCGATCAGTAATTTAGCAGATACCAGATGTACTGTATAATACACCATTTCTTATTCTGCAACATTTTGAAGCCCCTTCATTAAAATGTATTCCTCATAACTTAGTAGTAACTAAAAATGATCTATTCCATCTATTCCAGATGTTACCATCCAAGATGTACAGTATATGGATCCTCTGTAGCAAATGGGTGCCGTCAGAATGAGAGTCCTAACAGCTGATAAAAACATCACAATAATCCACACGACTTGTGAAGTGAAAAGCTGTGCATTTGTAAGAAACAAATCCATCAAGGTGTTTTAAACCATCGCTTTTGGCCAGAATACCAGTACCAGATATAAAATACCAGATAATCCATAATAACGCTTTCTCTAGTGGAAAAGTCCATCCGTTATTGTCCTCTCGCATCAAAATCCACAGACGTATTAGTTTAGAATAGTTTGGGACTTTTCATTTACAAACAGTGCTTGGTCTGTGCATACTTCTCTTTTCTGATTCAGACAGGATGACTTTTTCACTGGAGCAAGCAACATTACGAATAGAGGATTTTAGCCGTAAGCAATGATTTGAAGTTTAAAGCATCTTAATGATGGATTTACAAACAGCTTTTTGCTTCACAAGACGTTAATGGGTGGTTTGTTGATTATCGTGACTCGGCACCCATTCACTGCAGAGGATCCATTGGTAAACAAGTGATGTAATGCTAAATTTCTCCAAATCTGTTCTAATAAAGAAACAAATGTATCTACATCTTGAATGGCCTGAGGGTGTGTACATTTTCAGCAGATTCTAAAATAATTTTGTGGTCTCCGGATGAAATCTCTGTAGCGAATGGGTGCCGTCAGAATGAGAGTCCTAACAGCTGATAAAAACATCACAATAATCCACACGACTTGTGAAGTGAAAAGCTGTGCATTTGTAAGAAACAAATCCATCAAGGTGTTTTAAACCATCGCTTTTGGCCAGAATACCAGTACCAGATATAAAATACCAGATAATCCATAATAACGCTTCCTCTAGTGGAAAAGTCCATCCGTTATTGTCCTCTCGCATCAAAATCCACAGACGTATTAGTTTAGAATAGTTTGGGACTTTTCATTTACAAACAGTGCTTGGTCTGTGCATACTTCTCTTTTCTGATTCAGACAGGATGACTTTTTCACTGGAGCAAGCAACATTACGAATAGAGGATTTTAGCCGTAAGCAATGATTTGAAGTTTAAAGCATCTTAATGATGGATTTACAAACAGCTTTTTGCTTCACAAGACGTTAATGGGTGGTTTGTTGATTATCGTGACTCGGCACCCATTCACTGCAGAGGATCCATTGGTAAACAAGTGATGTAATGCTAAATTTCTCCAAATCTGTTCTAATAAAGAAACAAATTTATCTACATCTTGAATGGCCTGAGGGTGTGTACATTTTCAGCAGATTCTGAAATAATTTTGTGGTCTCCGGATGAAATCGGGAATCATTTATCACCTTGAACTACTGTTCATCACATAGCGTTCCTGTTACTTTGTTCTTCACCTAGAATTACAGTATGTACCCTGTGCAATCCCGCCTGCTTGACTGCTCGCTCTGTGCCGTGTGAGATTTGTCGGGGCTTTTCTAGGGCATTGTGGGTAATGCTGATGAAGGGGCCATCTGCTTGGGAGGGACACAAATTACACCCTCTTTCTCGCTCCCGGAACACCAGGTTCTACTGGCGCCATGGCAACCAACACATTACCGTTCCTTATCGAGTTTGGAGCTAATGCAATTGTGCTAATCAAATTATGCAAAAAAAATTTGACTCATCCACAATGAAAATGACAGCCATAATTTATTCAGAAGGCTGTGGACGCTCATCAAGACTAAACTGTTGACCAGTAAGCATATGCCATCTGTATTCGCAGCGTGTTTCTCTTCATGTCTGCTCATAGAGTGATGACAGCATCCTTTTAATTTGTCCTTTGCAATTCATTTGGCCAAGGCTGCATTTATTTTATCAAAAATACAGTAAATACAAAATATGTGAAATATTGCAATTTAAATTAAGTGTTTTCTATGTTAATATATTTTAAAATTTAATTTATTCTTGTGATTCAAAGCTGAATTTTCATCATTACTCCAGTCTTCTGTGTCACATGATCCTTCAGTATTATTCTAATATGCTGATTTGATGCTTAAGAAGCATTTCTTATTATCAATGTTGAAAAAAGTTGTGATGAATAGAAAGTTACAAAAAAGAGCCTTTATTCGAAATAAAAATATTAATTTATGTTTCTTTTAACCCCAAACCTTTAAATAGCAGTGTATATAGTCACAATTGGTGACTAGTTGTCCAAAAATATTTATTGTGCTTTAAACAAGAAGTTTGGCATGGTAAAACTCTCTCAGAGAAGTGTTTTAAAGTCAAAGTGTTGAGTTATCTTGCTTTCAAAAACACATTACATTGCACTCAGTCTAGATATTTTTGAACACAACACATCTTGTATAAACGTCTTGTGAGAAACGTATCCGATCCGGGTCAGGCTTCCCAAAAGCCTAAATTATAGTAGTTATTCAGGCAACCCCAATAAAAATATGAAGTTCTGTACATTCCTAATATGTTTATGATTACAATGAAACACCACAAGGCACATTAGTTTATGCGCAGTTAGCTGTGTACCATAACCAGACAGAAGTTCATAAATAAATCATATAAAGCTTGGCGTCTGTCACTTCAGTAATGGCCTGCCTGACTCATGCAGGTTCTGTCCTCTCTGGGGCTCAACAGCCGACGCAAAAACTCCTCATCCCAAATTATAGCTTCATTTAAAGCACATCCTAATGAGCCACTCGCCTCCATCGCAGTAATTGTACACATCAAGATTTTAATTAGTTGAATTAGATGTGCCGTTTCTTGGCTGGAAAAAAAAGATTGTTTCTCTCAAGATGCTCTTTGCTACCCATGAGCTAAATGCTAATTCGGTGGCATGAATTGCAGGAGAATTTTAATGGGCTTGGATTGGACGCTTATATCAATAGCCTAAATTTGAACACAAGTGTACACACGTAAGATGTTTGTTGTATTTTAGGGTTAGATCTCTGTCAATCTCTTATAGGATTATATCTGGGGGAAACTAGTGTAACGAATCTCATGGAAAAAGCAGATCAAACCCAGTTGGGATGAGTTGGTTGGAACATAAATTTATCGTAGTGGTTTACAATCTCTAGTCAATTTAACCAAAATGGTCTGGCATGATGAACTTGGTCTCAACAGCTAGTATTTAAACCACCTAATGATAAATGGCTCACTATAAACCATCTAAAACACTGTTTCTTATCCAGGGGGCCTCAGCAAAGATGACTTAATTTTTTATAATTAAATATATTTTTTATTATTGTTGTTGTTGTTGTTACAATTATATATTATATTATATTATATTTATTATATTATATTATATTATATTACAAACAATCTAAATTAAAATGTTAAAAAAACATATAATCAAG